CGGGCTTCCGCGACCCGCTCGCCGAGCAAACGACCCCCCCTCCTCCACCCCGTTTCCCCTCCTCCTCTCTCTGCCCGGCCAGGGGCTGGTCGGGGTCCTCTCGCTGGGGACACGCGGGAGGGGGTGCTCTGTTGGCCGCGATACCAAATAACCCAAGACGATCGTCACACCTCGCTTGGACGGTGCTCAGGACGGGGAGCCGAGGACCCCAGGCGAGGCCAGTCGTGGGGGAACTGGGACGTGCGAGCCCCAGCCCTCCCGCGCGCGCATCTCCTGCTCAGCCCAACCTTAGTCCTTGTGTCACCTTTCACGCGGACCTGGTGGTGATTGGGGCACGCTATGGGTTGTTCCCCTGCAGAGAAGTGGCTGTTGGAGATGGTTACTTCTTTGGTGACATGCTGTCACTCGCAAAGACACTCTTTAGGGCTGTTTCCCCAACCACAGCAGGAGAGGGGTAATTTGGGGAGGTGGTTCCTGCTGTTTTGCTGACGTGTTTCCATAAAGGAAGCATCTCCCACCTTCAGGTGGAATAGCAGCTACTTCTGGGGACTTGTGAGCAGCTCCGAAGTCCAGTCCTGCAGACCTGGCCGTGCTCTCCATCGTGGGTTTGCTTTTCTGTAGGTTGGGGAAGGGGGGAAGCTGACCATCTCTTGCTCAGCACACGCACACCGCAGTCCCCAATTCCTGCTTTCCCGCCCAGGGCAGTAGTCGCATCAGCTCCCACCTCCTCCGAGCACTGTCTGGACTCGTTATCTCTTATCACTTGATTTTCAACCAGGACCTGGGTGTCACTGGGCAGTTGTGACGCTGCCGTTTTCCCACCTGACAAAGCCACCTTCGGCTTTTGCTGCTGTTCTTGCTGCTCCCAGACTCTGTTTTTGTGCCAGTACTGCCTCCAGCTGTGAGCCTCAGTGTCTTTGCCCCATGACATGGAATCACAGAATCATAGACTGGTTTGGGTTGGAAGGGACCTTGAAGATCATCCAGTCCCACCCCCTGCCCTGGGCAGGGACACCTCCCACCAGCCCAGGTTGCTCCAAGCCCCGTCCAACCTGGCCTTGAACACCTCCAGGGATGGGGCAGCCACAGCTTCTTGGGGCAACCTGCCCCAGGGGATCACCACCCACACAGGAGAGAATTTTCTCCTAATATCTCATCTAAATCTCCCCTCTTCCAGTTTGAAGCCATTACCCCTCATCCTATCACTCCATACCCTTGTAAAAAGTCCCTCCCCAGATTTCTTGTAGGCCCCCTTCAGATACTGGAAGGGGCTCTGAGGTCTCCCCTTTTTTGCCTTCTCTTCTCCAGGCTGAACCCCCCCAACTCTCCCAGCCTGTCCTCCCAGCAGAGAGGCTCCAGCCCTCCCAGCATCTCCGGGGCCTCCTCTGGACCCCCTCTAACAGGTCCATGACCTTCTTGTGCTGAGGACTCCAAAACTGGACACAGTACTCCAGGTGGGGTCTCCCCAGAGCGCAGCAGAGGGGCAGAATCCCCTCCCGCGCCCTGCTGGCCACGTTTCTTTTGATGCAGCCCAGGATACGGTTGGCTTTCTGGCCTGTGATCGCACATCGGTGGCTCACGTTGAGCTTCAAAGGGACTCTGAGAAGTGGAGGTGTCAGGAGAAGTGGACCTCCCCCCGTTTTCTAACTCAGGCAACGCTTGGTCACAGCCTGTCAGTCCCTGGAGGGGCCTCTCCTCCACCATCGGTCTCCGCAGAGCTTTCGCTCTGCGGCAGAAGCGCAAACGACACCGCCAGTAGTCAGCAGGGTCCAAAGAGCTCTGCGCATCGCCGGAGTGGACCTTTCGCACGGCCTCGCTTTTCTCTTCCACACAATGAGTTCCTCCCTCACCTTCCCCTTCCATCACGCTGTTTACCCGCGCTGGGTAAACGGTCCCGCGGCCGAAACACGTCACGACTCTTTCAGCTTCTCACGGACCCTTTGCAGGTGTTACAGTCCCCGTTCCCAAGATTCGCCCCTACAAACTACACAATATTTTCTTCCGGGGCACAGAGACGTTGCCGGAGCGCCGCAAACCGCTGCTTTTGACTTCTCGCGTTCTTCGTGATCGGTGCTTGGGATCATAGAATCATGGAATGGTTTAGGTTGAAAAGGACCTTGAAGATCATCGAGTTCCACCCCCCCTGCCATGGGCAGGGCCACCTCCCACCAGCCCAGGTTGCTCCGAGCCCCGTCCAACCTGGCCTTGAACACCTCCAGGGATGGGGCCTCAACAACCTCTCTGGGCAACCTGTTCCAGTGCCTCACCACCCTCAGAATGAAAAATTTCTTCCTAATGTTTAATCTAAACCTGCCCTCTTCCAGTTTATAGCCATTCCTCCTCGTCCTATCACTACATGCCCCGGTAAAAAGTCCCTCCCCAGCTCTCCTGGAGCCCCTTTAGGTACTGGAAGGCAGCAATAAGATCTCCCCGGAACCTTCTCTTCTCCAGGCTGAACACCCCCAACTCTTTCAGCCTCTCAGGGATCGCTCGCCTAATATCTGCTTTTAGGATTTAGGGCGAAAGCCAGAGCGAACCTACTTCTGTGGCATTTAGGTCATCATCCCCTTGCGTAATGGATAAATTCCTTTTGACTGACTTCATGTAGATTTTAGGAACCCACGTGCGGTTTGTTGTGGCGCTGGATTTGGCCAGAATTAAGGGTTAAGGTCGAGGGTTGATCGATTGGTTTTTAGGTACGCCACTTTCCCTCCGTCGCGGTGGGTTTGAGGCCGGGTAGCTGTAGGAGAGCCCGTGCGAGCTGAACCTACATCTCTTTCGAAATGGAAGACCGCTTCGTGCTCCTGGTACGGCACTGCACCCGGATATATCTATGAGAAACACCGCAGGATCGATCTTCCTTCTTCTATAGCGGCATTTTTTAGGTTGACCAATCCAAGTTTTAGCAGGTAGGAGTCTCCTCCTTCTTCTCCGCCTTTTGGGTACGCTCAGCCAACGAGAGGGATCTGTGTCACTTAGAGATCCACGAGTGTTTCCACAATTTAGTTTCCTCTGAGATGATAAACCGAGGACTGGCCATTCCCGTTCTGGTTTCTGCTGGAAGTTCTCCTCCAGTTTGTATGTGCTCTTAAAGTTTCCTGCCCCAACAGGGAACGTAGAGGGTTGGGTTTTTTTTTTCCCCACTGTGATCCAGGTGCCCTCAGCCTATTCACAGCCCCAGGAATTCGAATCATCTGCATCACCTGAGTTTTTCCTACTCTCGTTCTTAAGAAAATGGACCCGAGTGCAGGTTAAGGAGGGAAACCAAGTTTTTGGGATGCCGTGAGCCCGTAGGAAGCCGTTCGGGTTCGTACCCCAGCACGGTGTTTCTCACTAGTCGAGAGCTTGTCGGTGTTTTAACGGCGATTGCTGCACACAGAGCAGCTCTGTGCCGTGGTGCAGGAAGACGATTGACTTCTCCAAAACCACCCCTGCGGGTCCACCCTGCTCGCAGCCTCCGGGGAGGGGGATTTTTCACCCTTTGTGGTGGTTCCTCCTGTTCTGCCTGAGAGAAAGCCATTCTGGTGGTTACTGCTGCATGGGAGAGATCCAGCTCTGCTGCTGCATCTAGGCAGGAGGACACCTTCCGTTGGGCTAGGGGAATAATGGCTTGGTCAGTAGTTTATTTAACCTATTTTTCATAGAATCATAGAATGGTTTAGGTTGGAAGGGACCTTAATAATCATCTAGTTCCAACCCCCCTGCCCTGGGCAGGGACACCTCCCACTAGACCAGTTTGCTTCAAGCCCCGTCCAACCTGGCCCTGAACACTTCTTGAATCGATCCAGAATAGTTTATGGTTGTGCCTGTGGATTTACGTGTAACGTTCCATGCTAAGTATCATCTTACAGGGCAAAAAATACTATCCAATTATATTCCATGCTCCTCCTCTTGCCCACACAAAATTGGGTCCCTCAGTAGTCTCTCTCTGCCAAGGGCAGGGCTGAAATATCTCAAAGTCCGTCACGTTTGGAGGTTGATCAGCTGAGAAGGAGAAGATTTTTCCAGATTTGAGGTATAGATGATGTGGTCTTTCTGCTGTGAATGAGCATCTTGCGGGGAGATGCTGAAACATGGCGGGATCTGGGAGTTTGAGATCCAAGAATCCGTGTCGACCAACGGTCCCACCTTGTCTCCCTGCACTGCTTTTGAGGGGGAACTCAAACTGCTGGGCTCTTGCCAGAC